AGAAGATAAAGCCAAATATTACAACAAAATGTGCAAAGATCTGGAATCAGAAGACCAAAAAGGAAGAACACTTAGCATTTCTCATGCTGGGGTAACTTAAGAAAAAATTGAAGACTTAACTTTTGTTATTGAAAGATTCTCTGGGCAAATTATTGAGTGATGCAGAAAGTATCAAGAGAAGATGGAAGGAATACACAGAGTCACTGTACCAAAAGGAAATAGTTAATGTTCACCTATTTCAAGAGGTAGCATATGATCCAGTGCCCGTGATCCAGAAGGAGGAAGTCCAAGGTGCATTGAAGGAATTGGCAAATAACAAGGCACCAGGAATTGATAGAATACAAATTGAAAGCTTTCAAGAAAGTGAGGCGGCACAGGAGGCACTCACTCATCTCTGCCAAGAAATTTGGAAGACATCTGGCCGACTGATTGGAAGAGATCCATATTTGTGCCTATTTCAAAGAGAGGTGACCCAATGGAATGCGGAAATCTGATATCCCATGCGAGTAAAGTTACTAAAGGCAATATAGAAATGGCTGCAAGCATACATTGACAGGGTATTTCCAGAGGTTCAAATCGGATTCAGAAGATGCTATGGAACGAGGGATATTATTGCTGATGTCTGATGGATCTTGGCTGAAAGCAGAGAACATCAGAAAGATGTTTACCTGTGCTTTATTGAGTATGCAAAGGCTTTCGATTGTGTGAATCATGACAAGCTATGGACAACATTGCGAAGTATGAGTAGTACAGAACACTTAATTGTGCTCATGAGGAATCTGTATATGAACCAAGCAGTTGTTCTAACAGAACATGGGAACACTGAGTGGTTTAAAATTAAGAAAGGTGTGCGACTATCAACACTTACGGAAGCAGCAGTCAAGAAATCAAACAACATATTGTTTAGGCAAATCTGCTGTACAAGACCTCTTTAAACTGTTGAAGAGCAAAGATGCCAGTTATAGGATGAAGGTGTACCTGACCCAAGCCATGGTATTTTCAATAACCTCATATGCATGCAAAAGCTGGATAGTGAATAAGGAAGACCGTAGAAGAATTTATTCTTTTGAATTATGTGTTGGAGGAGAAAGTGCCATGGGCTGCCAAAAGAACAAACAGATCTGTGTTGGAAGAAGTGCAGACAGAGTGCTCCTTTGAAGCCAGGATAGCCAAACTTCATCTCTCATACTATGGACATATTATCAGGAGGGAGCAGTTGCTGGAGAAGGATATCATGTTTGGTAAGGTGGAGGGTCAGAGAAAATGAGGAAGACCTCCAGTGAGATGGATTGGCAGCATCATTGGGCTCAAGCGTGGCAACAGTTGAGTGAGGTTGGCCCAGAATTGGGCAGTGCTTCGTTCTGTTGT